CAGACTCGCCAGTGGTGAGTATGTCCAAAGACATTGGCTGCTTTACTCTCCATCTACCGGAGCTGTGTTTTGTTTTGCATGTTGCATTTTCAGTGATGCTAAAAGCAAATCGTGCTTTGAAACTGGTTTCAGTGACTGGAAACATGCCACAAACAGGATGAAAGAGCATGAAAACAGTGAACATCACAGAAAATCTATGCTAACATATATCACACTTGGGTCAGCTGCTGGAAGGATAGATACAGAGCTGGAAAAACAATTTGAATCTGAGAGTGCATATTGGACTGAAGTTTTGAGAAGAGTTGTGTCTGTTGTGAAGTTTTTGGCAGAGAGAGGACTTGCTCTTAGAGGATCTAGTCATGTTTTTGGCAGGACTGATAATGGTAATTACCTGGGCATTCTGGAGTTAATCAGCGAGTTTGATCCCTTTTGAAGTCTCACATAGAGAAATATGGAAATGCAGGTGCAGGGACACCTTCATATCTTTCTTCTAAAATATGTGAAGAGTTTATTCAACTGATGGGTGATCGTGTTCTGTCTGAAATAGTCGGTGAAGTAAACATGGCCAAATATTATTAGATCTCTGTTGACTCCACACCAGATGTTTCCCACCTTGATCAGTTAACATTTATTCTGAGATATGTGTCACCTGAAGGGCACTCCCAGGAACGCTTTCTTAAATTTCTTCCCATAGAGAACCATACAGCTTTGAGCATAGTCTTCTATCTTAGTGGCAGATGAGTGCGCTTTTGCCTTTTGTTTATTTTTGTTAAAGTTATTTGACAGCAAAAGCAGAATTTGAATTGTATTAAAATGTTCAATGTGTAAATGACTACCTAATGTTAGGTTATTGATTCACACAGCTTTTAGAAGCCAAAGTTGAAATAATGTTTTCTTTCTATAAAATGCAAATCTATTCATTCAAGGATTATTGTAGTGTGTGTGAATTGATTTATTAAAGATGTGTGGTCTAAAAAAAAGTTTCAATTTGTAGTCCTTAAAATAATATAGTAAAATTATATATGTGTGTGTGTGTGTGTGTGCGCGCGCGTGCGTCTATCCAACAATTTTGAAAAAAAAGGGGCCACCTAAATTGACTGAAGCCCATGGGCCCACATCCTCCTAAATCCGGCCCTGCCCATGGTCTTCTCTGAGTCAGGGATGAGGTCCTGCCTCAAGTGGAGGAGTTTAAGTATTTGAGGTCATCTTCACGGGTGAGGGAAAGATGGAGCGAGAAATCAATAGATGGATTGGTGCCACGTCTGCATTGATGCAGGTGTTGTACCGGTCTATTGTGGTGAAAAGAGAGCTGAGCCAGAAGGTGAAGCTCTCAATTTACTGGTCAATCTACGTTCCTACCCTCACCTATGGCCACGAGCCTTGGGTAATGACCGAAAGAACGAGATCATGGATACAAGCGGCTGACATGAGTTTTCCGCACGGGTGGCTGGGGTCTCTTGCAGCTTCTGGCATTTTTAAAAAGTATCCCAGGGGCACGGTAAGGGCCAGAGATGTTTAGTCTATTTAATTTCTGACTATATAAAACGATTTCTTCGGTTTTAAAGTGTGAAGTAAACTCAGACAAAGTAAAATCCAAGCCGATCCCGTTCATTTTGTTTACCTTTGTTGCCTGCCAACATGGCGTCTACTCTCTGAGACTCACGTGATGTCCGGAGCTCTATACCCGGTCTACAACGGCTCCGCCCCGGTGTGGAGACCTGAGGTGCGCAAACCGGCATGCGTGGGATTTTCGAGATCTTGCGATACAGTCCGAGCAATAAATGCGTAAATTAGATCCAAACACCCGTTGTGTGGGAGAAGCATCGAAATGAACTGTTTAATCTGCCTATCATTTGTGTTGAGAGATCAGCAGTGTTTGGATCAACAAAGGGTGACTGCTTTGATAGTGGAAACTGTATTTATGGTTTATTTTTGTGCAGTTAAAGTCCAACCGCCATTGATAGTTGTTAAAAGTTGTTAAACCTGTGCATGTGAAAAAAAACGCTTTTTGTTTATCAATTTATTGTGAAATAACGGAAGTTGTGCTTGCTCCCTTTCCTGTTGAGCGGTTGTGATTTCTGTCCATTGACTGCGGAGGTGCTCCGGCGTCCGGCAAAACTGTCCAGTACCTCTTTTGGATCCGTTCACACGCTGCAACTATTTGGAAAGACTTCAGCAGATTTATTATTGGTCTCTACAAGAACTTCAATTCAAAATGGGAAAATATTATTTTACTTACCAATAAAAAGAAGCAGAGACTCATTGGATGATCTGTTATTACAATCAATACAGCTTACCGTCGTGTCCAATTTATTTCACAATCAACCTCCAAACATGAACACAGAGAGGCCATTGCTAAATTTCAGTCAAAATGGCAGAACATCAATGTGAGGCTGAGGCCTTCCCCTGAATCTAGCCACTAGCGCAAGCTCTGACGTGACTCTGACATTCATGCTACCTGTCAACGCTGACGTTGTTAGGTCCGTTTTAGGGGGGCTTCAGCCCCCCTAAAATAATCACAAGCCCCCCCCTATCATTTTGGGTTTTTTATTTTATTTTATTTTTTTCTGTTAACTTTTTTTTATTTGTTCACATCTACATGCTCAACACAAACACGACACGTGTAGTTGGTACAGGAGTTTTTAGTCTGAAACAGAAATAATAATTAATGAATATAGAACTACACCGTCGCACACAGGAACTATCAAGAAAGGACTTCCTCCACTTCTTTGTTGACAAGTCAGGGGACAGGGGCGATACAGCAAAACCTATATATCGATGAGCAAATCCTGCTCAGCGCTCATGTAACAACATCACGTCATGTCAACATCACATTAGGGTAAGACAGCAACAGCAGCACACCGTTAACATTTCAAGGTTATAGTTCAGACGAGAAATGCTACCGCACCAACATGCTAATGCTAACTCCGCTAGCATGTTTACATGCCGCAAACCATAATGAAAAGCTTTGATGTCAAGTAAAATGGTCGAAAAACTCCCCTGAAGTGACATGATTAACGAGCCAGCCAGTTCATTGAGTGACTTAGTGCCACCAACTTGAGCGTACAGTAATGAGTCTGCACAAACAGAACCTGCTCTGCGCTTGTGTGCAGCATCTGCAGCCCTCTCTATGGGATCAATTCTGCACATGCAAATCTCTCCCTGCTCTCCTCAACAAGTAGCCTCTCCAACAGTCAATCACAGACAGCTCTGTTTTATCCAACCAAAGCATGTCCAGGAAACACTGCTTTACAGAAAAACACCCATTTAACAGCTTATTGAACTGCTTTCTGCTGCTGGTTAGCTACCAGTCACCATCCACTGCCTGCAAAATACTTTGTTGTAATTCATGTGTCATGATTAGGGTGACCATATCTGACTTCCAGAAAAGACGCATTGCCTATTCCTAATACTGTTAAATTGCACTCTTTTCAGTTAAAGAGGACTTTTAATTTCAACATATAAAGTGTTTATTCTCTGTTTGGCTAGACATAAATGATCCCTTGATGTGTAAAAGGAAGTGAACAGTGGAAATGTCCCAGGAAAAGAGGAGGGTTAATCAACCTAATTAAATATAATTATATAAAGTCCTCTTTATCTGAAAAAAGTGCAATTTTCCTGGCAGTATTTCCTGGACATGCTTTGATTGCATAATGGAGAGCTGTCTGATTGGCTGATGGAGAGGCTACATTGCTTTAAAAATTGCAAATTGAGCAACAACAGGGAGATTTGTGCAGGCAGAGACGGAGTTGAGCATGCAGAGAGAGGGCTGCATACGACTGCAGAGCAGGTTGTGCTCTTGCAGATTGATCACTGCACGCTCCAGTTGGTGGCACAAAAATCACTCCACACTAAAAACCTGAATCAGAATATGGCTGAATGTGTATATTATTGACTGTTTTTCTATATTATATATTTTTTCTATAATATATATATATAATATATTATAGGTACATATATGTAAACAGCCAGTTTTATATATTTCATATATTCAAAAGCTACATCAAAACATATATTAAAACCTATATGTTTATATGAATTCTTTCCATGTGGGTTGTCAGTTGCTTAATATTTCCTATGTTTACCTATGGTAAAGAAAAGAGATATTGTACTCATCTGACTTTAACATAAATTTTGGCAGCTTAATGTGACATTATGCACAATGCCATCATCATGACTGACTTTGGACTCGACTTGGACTTGACTCGAGACTTGACTGGAAAGACTTGTGACTTACTTGTGACTTGCCAAGCAGTGACTTGGTCACACCTCTGGCATTTGAATCCTAAATAAAGATGCATTTTTTTTCTCTACATCTGGAAAACAATTTAACGGTATCAACAAACAAATTTTAGGTTGGGCTTCAAACTGTATGTGTTAAATAATAAATATCCTTAAGAAGATGATTCATTTCAAGGCCAACCTGGCAGTGAAGGGTGGAGTGAGGTCCTTACAAGAGCCTCATTCAGACACAACACTAACGCTGCAAAGCCCAGCCTGTTAGATAAATACAAATTGAACTTAGTGTTATTATTTCTGAATCACTGCGTTCCTGTTTTCTCCTGCTGCTGTCACAAAAACATTGAACTCTCTGAGACGCAAACCAGCAGGTGAAAGGTTTCTTTGTTGTCTTTAGGAACATCAGGGTGGAGATCTTCCTGGAATTAAGAGCACCAATTTCTGCACAAAAGCTGGGACTCCAATGCATGGAAAACAAGCATGAATCCACTAATGGGAGTTGTTCTATTTTGCACCTATTTAAACAAATAAGACAGGATTTTGCTGGTTTACTCAGCATTGTGGCACCCTAAATGGTTTATAAAAATAATTAAATACAAATGGGTCTCATCGTTTATTAGTTTTGTTCCAGAATCTTTGTTTAAAAAAAAATAGGGTTCTACATGAAGGCCCTAATTTAGCTACTAGGATTGAAGATGTTATTCCAGTGGGGTTCCCAACAATCACACAGCCAACCAGTCAGTGAATCAAGAGCACTGATATTAAATAGTGAGTCTTTGGTTTATTATGCTGCAGATGACATCACTTTAAGAGGCACAGCCCCACATACAGCAACACAAGCACGCAAATGAAAGCCAAGTTATTTTCTTTTCAGGTTACAAACATGAAAAAGGCTCATCACACTGGTTCTGAACAGAAACTGTGTCCTGCACAGCATGTGAAGGGTAATCTGTGAAAACACGCTAAACAACCCCAGCAAAGGTCTCCAGCATGTAGACCGGGGAGGGTTGGGTTGCTGATGCTGCTGTGGTCTCATTGGAAAAGGACATAAAACTGACTCTCTAATATTAACAGTCAACCAAAGGGATCTTTTCACAATAAATAACAAATATCAAAATATGATTAGAGATTGATGAATAAACTACTTTTGAATTTCAGTCATCCAAATATGAAAGATTAAAACTGTATCTCACAGTTGGGTTTCAACAGGCTCTTTTCTTACTGTAGAATAATGATTTTAAAATAGCTTAAATAACACCACTGATGGCTCCAAAACATTTCAGACCACCCTTCAAATGACATCAACTTAGAAACTGAATCGTTTAAATTTTTTTTTTTGCTAAATTCATTGAAAATAATTTAATTTACCAGCAAAAAGCCTCAAAAACACTCAGAAAGCCAAAGTACATTGAGTTCAAATCAGTTCACTAACCAAATTGTGATGTTCACTTTAGAGTTCTTTGTTATTCGGATCTGAAATAAACATTTAAGATCTTTGCTCTGACTTTACACCTTGGCAGAAACTTGAGCAGCTGCTCTTTGCTATAGATTCACTCCCCACCTATTGCACTTTCACATGCATACAAATGGCAGAAGGCAAGACTGAAACCGTGAAATGAATTCAGATAATACATGTCAGTTTTAGACCCTTTTTTCCCTGCTGCTCATCTGTTACATCTGGAACAAGAACAGGCGCTGCATGAGTTCATCGATCTCTTTAGCACCTGATGAAGTGACTTTCACAGCAAATCTAATGATGCCAACAACAACCCATAGAAGACTACACAGAGATGTAAAACTCAGAACACCAGTGAGTATTTATATTACATCTCATTTTGGAAATCACACATCGTCAATAAACTCAGAGCAACAAAACATATATTAGTTCGAGCAGGAGAAGACAAAGAAAATCGAATGACCATGGTATAGCCCCTCCAAAAGTGGGAGTTCAGTCAGTTTAATTTATAAAATAATCTACTCTTAAATGGCTTTTCCTGAACAGCTCTTGTTCTTTAAAAGCTAATTTAATTTTCATGGTTTATTTCTCTGTGCTGCTGACTGCTGGATCCCAGCTGCTCCTGTGCTGTATTCTCTTCCTGGCTTTCACTGCAGCAAGAAAAAAGAAACATAAAGAGCATCTGTTATCCCAAAATAACAGTCGTCAGTGAGATGTCTGCATGGTTTCTGTGAAGGGGACTCACCATCAGTACACTCCACTCTGGGTTTTTCCCAGTGCCCGTCATCTTGGCAGCGGACCACAGGTAGATGGCGCTGTCTGAAGCCTGGCTTGCACTGATAACGAATGATGGAGTTGACGGGATATTGCAGCCTCCTGGCACCAAATGTGTGAGCATTTTCCACTTCAGGTGGCGCTCCACATGACACTACAGGCAAAACAAGAAGCTGAATGACATTAAAGGACTTCGAGAAAAGTTTCCAAAAAGGTTTTATCATCAGTTTATTATGCATTAATATCACACTGCAGTTGTAGATCAGTCAGTACCGTGTGTCCATGTCGTGATTCATGTCCCTGGTCTGTTTTCATGTCTCTCTATTATCACCCAATTGCTAATGGGCTTGATTATTTTTACCTTTGCTCCCGTGATTTATGCTCCTGCAGCCACAGCTCTGGTGCCAGATCCTCAGCAGCTTTATGGGGATCAGATGCTGCATTCGCCAAGCCAAACCTGCTATGTCACATTGAGCTAAGCCACGTCTAGTCAAGTAGTCCAAGCTAAATTAGTCCAGCCAAGTTAGGCTAAACTAAGTCAAGCTACAGTTAGTCAAACCAAGTCCAGCCAAGCAAGCTAGTCAAGACAAGCCATGCGAAAGTCGAGTCATGCTAAGGTTGTTCAAGACATTTCATGTATAGCCAAGCAAAGTCTAGTCAAGCCAAGTCATGCTAAGCTAAAGCCCCACATACAGCAACACAAGCACACAAATGAAAGCCAACTTATTTTCTTTTCAGGTTACAAACATGGCATGCTAAGCTAAAGTTACGTCAAGGAAAGTCAAGGAAAATTGAGCCACTCAAATCCACCTTTCAACATTTCTGCAATCCTGCTTATAAACTAAACTTTTGTTCTTTTGTTCAATTTTGTGTGTTGGATAAATCCTTTGGTCCAACACCGCCACCCCCACCCCCAGACCTTTACACTTGATGTTAAAGCCACAGGGGCAAAACGTTTGAAGTTATTACGAAAGGAACAAAGACTACAAATATGGAGACCATGTTATTAAAGGCGTCATATTCCTGGAAATAATGCAAGTTTCATGCTAGAATTTCAAATAAAAGTCATGTCATCTTGAGAGTTGATGCATGCATGCATTTTCTAACACAATAGGGCTAAATGCCTCTGTTTTGGCTGGAACCTTTTTGCCCAGATGATGGGAGCTCAGGACATAAATTGCTGCCATCTCTTACCTCCACAAAGATTCAGCAATCATGAGAGACCTCCCCTCCTCCTCCCCTCTGCTTCCACACCTGGACTCAATCAGCTCATCAGCCCCATTGCAATAAAAGAGAGGACCTGCCACTGGAAAGGGACTGGGAGGAGGAAGTCTTGGTTTGGACTGGTGTGTTTGGTTGTGGCTTGTCAGTTCAGTTTAGGCTCGGGGGAAGTTTGGGTCGTCAGCCGACAGCCTGTACGGGCCCGGTAAGACGGCTGTCCGGCTTCGCTTCGACCTCAGTTGTGGTGGAGGATGGGGCGGAGGAGAGCAAGTAAGGCTGTTCAGTCGGTTGTGACGGGGGCGGCAAAGCGGGACTGTGGGGCAGTGACGGCGCATCGGACAGTGATGTGGAGCTGCAGCTGAGGACTGCAGAGGGGGGCTTTGTGGTCTGTATGCGGGCGGCGGGTGGGGCACGTTTTACTACCACTAACCCGCTGGCGGTGTCTAGGGAGCTGAGAGGGATGATTGGTGATGTGACAGACGCTACGGTTGTTTTTGGTGGGTTGTTGGTGGTGGTCTGTCGGATGAAGACCCAGCTCCACCAGGCCCTGGAGCTTGAGAAGTTCCTGGGGGTGAGTATAGAAGTCTCAGAGTCGCGGTCTGGTGGATTGGTTAAGGGGGTGGTTTACGGTGTCTCTAATGATGTTACTCAGGTGGAGGTGGTGGATGCCCTGAGTGGAGAGGCGGTGGTGGCGGTGCAGCGTTTGGGTTGTGATAAGCGTGGGTCCACTCCGTAGTTAACTAGTTTTGAAACAGTGGAGCTCCCGGCTCGTGTCAAGTGGGGGCTATCTTAGTTTCTGAGTTAGGGCTTATGAGGAGCCTCCCTTGAGGTGCTTTAAGTGTCAGGGCTTTGGTCATGTGGCTGGAGTCTGTATGGAGGGGCTGAGGTGTGGGGGCGACCATGAGGGCAAGCTTTGTGATCTTCCACTCTGCTGTTGTAATTGTGGTGGGGCTCATCAGGCGGCTTATAGAGGTTGTGTGTCGTATAGGACAGCAGTGGAGGTGGAAAGGTATCAGGCTTGGTTTCTTACGCTGAGGCGATGCGTTGAGTGGGGGTTCGGGGTGGTGGAAGATCGGGGCTTGTGCTGCGTCTCAGTCTACTGGTGGTGGGAATGAGGGGGTGGTGGTTGTGAGGGATAAGAGACAGTTTCTGGTGTTTTTAGTGGAGGCATTGTGGCGGGTGAAGCATGTGGCATTAAACATGAACTCTAGCTCTAGGACTGCAGAGGACTGAGAGTTGTCCAAGGCGGTGGATGTTGATGACAAGGGAGGGGGAATGAGCATGGGGTGAGCCCCCCTGTGGGGTTAGGGTGTGTTCACAAGGGTATGTGTTGGTGGGGGAGTTGTGTTGGCCATGGTTTGGTGGTGTAAAGGGTGGGAGGGTTCGTGTGCTTGTTGTGTGTGATGGATTGTGCAGACTTGGCGGTGGGGGTCGTTGTTGTGGCAGCAATATGCCTTTTAGATGTCCAGCCTGTCTTAATTCATGGAAGAAGAAGAATAGAAAGGGACTGACTGGATGTGCGCCATGGCTTTTTAGTGGCTCCATTGGTGTTATGAAGGGTTTTAGTGCATTTAGTCTGGCTGATTTTAGTGCGTAAAACAGGCGAGGGATCAATGTGTTAGCTCCCTCTTAGCTCCAAACTTTGTGAGTACGGTCAGTGGACCTTCGTTTGGAAATGTGGTCAAAGAACCTTTGTTTGGTATGTTTGAGATCTTTTTAGATGTCTGTTTTTGTTGAGAATCCCTACTTAAACATGTAACCACTTGCCTTTATAACACTGTTATTTATCGAACTTTTAGAATTGGAGCTCTATTTTTTTATCCTTATAAATTAAAAATTGTTTGATATTTCACTATTCTGCACATGCCTCTGTGTTACGACAGTGTGCTTCATTTTAAACACCAGCTCTGGTTACAACAGCCTCAAAACAGGTAAACATTTAATGATTTTCACAAACTGAAGCAGAGCGGAGATAAACCACATACCTGGTCCTTTCTTGCAAGTGAACGGCAGGTGGTAGTTACAGGGCACGTCATTCCACTGACCCTTCTCATGCCAGACCATTACCACACAGTCTTCTCCTGAGTTGAAGTAGTTGTCTGGCTGGTTTGGCCTCCAGTTCTCGTATTGCTGAGGAGACATTTGGAAACTTAATGTGCTGCACAACTCCAGTTTATCTCTTCATGACTGTCTCTCGTATACGCATGAATTTTTTTGTCAAAGGTCAAAATTTTCTCAATTTTAAAACTGATTCAGTACCGTGGGAAGTAGGGGTGCTACAGAAACCCCCACCCCACCCCTTTCCGGTTGACCTCTAAGATTTAAGATTTATTTGATACAGTGGAACAAAGGTGGATTTTAAACTTTTTTTTGGGGGGGGGGGGGGGGGGGGGGCTCAATAAAACAAAAGGATGCAGCAACAGTTTGAGGCACACTTGCAGCCCAGTCCAGTCACTGAAAAAACAGCAGCAGCAATACCCTGAGAGTGTGATGATGGGGACCAGGGGTGTACTGACAGGCTGTGCACATTTGAAGTTGTGTGATTCAATCAGTAAGAAGACACACTTCAAATGCTGCTGCCGCACGGCGCTCTTTTATGCTGTTAAGCACTACAGTTTCGTGGACAGCTGTGACTAATTGTTTACTGTTGCCAAGATGATAAGTACCATGGACAGTTACCATGGACTCTGTTACATGATTCTTATTATTCTCATATTTAAATATTTCTGGTCTTTGTTATAATTTTTGCAGGCTTAAATAATATGGCTGTGTTCCTCGGTCAGCTCTAAATTATTTGTGAATGTTTCATGATTTTGTCTTGATTTCTAATAACGAGATTGGTATCAGTGCATATACTGTATATTTTAGGTAGGCTATGATTCATCTGTACATAACTTCAGTGCAGCTGAGATCTTGTATTTTTTTCTCAGCACCCCCTGCTGAGAATATGTTCCTGTGGCTATTTACTGATTTAAGCTCATTTTGAATGTCTCTTTAGGTCTGGGGGCAGTTTAACTCCAGGCCTCTGTGGATACCACCCTGCATTCTGCCGTCCTGTCAATTTGAACATTTTCTTTTCTTCAACTCACTAGATTTAAACTGATGAGAAATCAACAGTCTTCTGTAGAACTTAGCATGCTGAGGAGGTAATTAAATAATTTTATTTGGATGCCCAGGACCAAGAAACATCAGGATGGAAGCCACCGTATACCAAAGTTAGTGATCTTATTTTACTAACACAGAAATTTTCTTTCCTGAACTTCATCCTCTTATGGAAAAGTGTGATGTCCATATTTACCATTGGTGTCCCATCAGTCCACTGAAAGTCCCTTTCAACTGCTTTGTCGCTCAGTCCGATCCACTTGTAGTCATTTGCAAATGCTGTTGGAGAGAAATATGTTGAGATCATCTGATTATGTCTTGATTTCCATCACGCACCACACTAAGGACTCACCATTGACAAAATGCTGCTCCTCGGGTGTGATGATGCTGACCAGGTGTGCCTCTAGGCCTTGGCAGTGATTCTCTGCACCAAGCCAATCCTTTCTGTCAGAGATGTGCAGGTAACAGTTTCCTTGAAATTTAGTCCAGCCATCTTCACACTGCTGCTCCTCTACAGTCGTCAAACAGAAATTGTGGTGAAAAAAACTAACAAAAGTGTGACTTTCTCAAATCTCCTGTGGGTTTAAAGGGTGGAAAAATATTTCTTTTGAATTCTTTTCAGAAGTTGGAGAAGAGAAGCTGTGTGTGTCTTCAACGTATCAGATTTTCTGGATGGTCTTCACTTTTCCTGCAGGTAATAATCTGACACATCATAGTAACACCACACAATTCAACCTCTAAACAAAAGTCAGCTGACCCTGGGTCAGAACCAAATAGGCTGAAGCTGCTTTTAGCTACTATGCTGCACACAGATGAAATTAGCTTCATTATGTCCTCAGATGCGCTCCAGCGCTAGTAACTTTTAAATCAAAATTAAAAACCTACTGTTTTTTATCAGCCTGTGAATGACTGTTCATGTTCTTATGTTAATTTTAATGTTATTGCTAACAGCACATTGAATTGCCTCTGTGTATGAAATGTGCTATGTAAACAAAGTGGTTCTCGATCCTGGTCCTGGAGGGCCGGTATCCAGCATGTTTTAGTTTGACCCTGCTTCATCACACTTGATTTCAATCAGCAGGTGATCAACAGGCTTCTGCAGAGCTTGGGCTGATGAACAGGAGATTCAGCCACTGAATCACGTGGGTTGGAGCAGAGGAACCACTAAAACATGCTGGAAACCGGCCCATTTTGACATGTTTTTGTATATAAAAGTTATACGTAACCACTGTTGTACTACATGTAGACAGCTTCCTGAACTGCTATGAAATGTTCAGAGACTGGAGCTGTTTTATTCCTTGAAATTTTCAACTACTGAACTATTAATTATCCAATATTGATGCGAAAACACCATATTTATCTATTTTCTAAATATTTAACAGTATAACAATGTTAAACAATAAACTAGGCTCTTGCCACATTTGGTGTATAGAATCTTCAGTAGGGGGCAGAAAACACAAAGTTACTGTGGAAAGTACTAATCATTCTGAAGAGGTAGAGGTCTCAGAAACACAAATCAACCACGGTTTATTCGTTTTAGGACAGCAGCCGTACTCGCTTTGGGTTGGAGTCTGACTTGCGATCAGCTTTTTAATCCTATTTATCTGAACAGAGACAGTCGGGAAGCTGTCTACAGAGAGTAAAATAGTAATAATAAAAAAAATATATACAGAATTTAAATAGACCAAAATACATCTTCCAGGCAAAACATTTTAGTTGTTTCGCAGAAGGAAAAAAATTGTGCATCTTCCAGCTCTGAGCCACCAGGATTCCTTTTGACTTGGTGCTTGACCAAAGTCCCAAGTGCTCCCCTCTGTTGGTGTTCAGCCCCTCTCCCTTTTGTTGCGTCTGATCGATAGCTGTTAGTATTTATTAGCAGAAGCTGATCTCGTACCGATCTTACAGTGTTTCCCTCCGTAGCTGGGCAGGCATAAGCATTTGAAAGAGTCTGCACTCTCCACACAGGTAGCTCCATTGGCACAAGGGTTGGGATGGCACACCTCGACCTCTGGAAAAGATGGGGGTGAGCAATACTACTATCTCAGCGGGGGGTTAGCAAACCTATTACATCTTTGTAGGAAGAGCTGCTGCAACTTCTGATCCAAACACTTACTGCTAACTGTAGCGCCAATTAGGTAAGTTTACTTTTTATCTGAAGTCTCATCGGACACAAAGGTTATTAAACCTTTTTGCAGATCAAATGCTAATTTGATTGATTGCAAAAAGGTTTTGTTTGAATCCAGGAAAGTTGCAGCAGAGTATTAGTAGTTTACTCCGGCAGAACAAAATCTGAGCAGAGATTTCCAGTTTCAGACATGGCAGAGAAGAGCAGAGCAGAGGCAGCGTGCATGCCCAACAGACTGAGGACACTTTATAAAAACACAGAGGTGATCCATCCTTAAAGCAGAAATGATGCACGTTTGACAAACAACATGGCATTCAACTCTGACACACAAATACAGAATCGGACACAAAGAAAACACACAATATGATGCAAAAGACATGATGACCATCGATACAGACAGAGAGAAGGTATTTGGTAGATAGGGTGATTCACATATTCACAAAAGGCCAAGGCTTTACTGAAAAGAATGCATGACAATGATTAAAAAAAACGTGCAAATAACAAAAGTCAAACAAATGGAAAAAAACAAACAGGGAAAAACATGAAACTAATCCCGAACTCACCCAAACAGAGAGCAGACCCGTCCTCTGCAGAGCAGGAAGCATTAACACAGGAACCGGACTCGCACGGGTCAAAGCCTTTAAAAAGAAATCAAAACATGATTCATTCAACAGATCAGATCTCTTGCTGACACTTTGTGGTGGTTTCATCAATGAAGTCAAAATCCAAACTGGTTTTGACTTGACAAAGAATGATAAATATGTTTCTTCAAGGATTGTTTTATGTGAAATCATATGAAGCTGCACCAAAAGTTCTGTTGCACTTCTGTTGATATTCTCTTTTGTTCTGAAATGCTTGGTGGATTGGATGGTTTCACTTTCCCACAGTGATCAGGAAAAGCCAACACATATTGGCTGTTTTTACACTTTATTCATGTTACACTGTTAGGGGGCTCAGTGGCATGTGGAGGATCCACTCAGCCACAAGAGCTTGGCTCCTCCTCTTTCTGCTGTTCACAAGTTTAGTCACAGTTGGGACCGGTTCACACTGGAAGAAAAGTATGCCAGTTTTTGACCAAATTTTTCTTCTCCAGTAATCTCAAGGTCAACCCAATCATCATTATGCTCCAATAATAATCCAATCAGATATTCCACATGTGTGTGGTGTGTTAAGATCAGTCTGGTGTGCTCAAAAGCACGTTTGATCTAAAAAAGGTTTTGCAAGATTTACGGTCTGACTTATGAATATGAGTAAAAGTCGGTTTGTGTGTAATGTGTTGTCTTTGCCATGTTTCCACACACAAAATGGTCAAATCCTTGATTTTTATTTTTATTTTTTTTATCGCCACATGTAGGATCTCATGTTTTGAAACCCATGTGGCCATTTTAATATGTAGCTGTGTGAACTGAGTCTTAGCTGAGGAACATCATCCTGTTAACCACTGGGATGGTGTTAGTCAGTCTAGGACGTGCAGCGCGACCAAGAGCTCATTCAGGTTTCAGTGACAGGAAAGCACCGGGCAACACTCGGAGCACAAAGTTGAACTGAATCGTTTATTTATGAAGCCCCTTCCCGTCCCCCACTCAACAAGGCCCAAGGTGCTGTACATAATCAAAGTCACACAAAACAATGTAAAAGCAACATTATGGTCAAATTAAAGCATGAAAAATACAAGTGAGTTCCAGCAGGAGGATGTAGGTGGGGCTTTGTGATATTTTGGAGGTGCTACCCACATAATTATTGCCAAGAAGCACACATTTATCTACTGGTTCAATTGATTAGTTTGTTTTGGTTTTAAAGTATTAGTTATGATTTATTTCAGTGAGAAGAGTGTAGATTTACCCACCTCCTGCTGTGGCTGGTGTCTCCACAAACGCTGGTTTAGCTGCAGTAGGAGGAGCCACCAGTCCTTCAGGAATTCTTTCAAAACTTGGCATCATATAAGTTTCACTGAAGGTTTCAGTTTCTTCAGCCTCATTTGGATGGTCCTCTGGTAGTCTTGTAGGTTCTGTTGGTACTGGTTCAGCAGGTGGAGAGGGCAGCACTGCCTCTGACAGATCTTCAGTGGAAGCTACAGAAGAAGTTGGAGCTCCTGGAGCTGTGGAGAGGTCAAAGACCCTTCCACCAGAGAAGCTGCTTCCACTTTCTTCTCCACTGTACTGAACTGAACCCTGTCCCAGCTCTTGTGGCGCTTCAGTCTGTCTGGGTGCTTTTATTAGATCATCTGTCAGGAGTTTAACACTGCCTTCTTCTCCACTGGCAGAGAACCCTGATCCAGAAACTGCTGATCCAGACAACTCAGAACCAGAACCAGAGAGAAAACTTGAGCTTCCAAATCCAGATATTTGTCCACCACTTCCTTGTCCAGAGCTATAGAATACAATCCCTGATGCCTCCTTGTGTTCTCCAGAAGATGAAACAGTGAGTTCCATTAAACCTGAACCCATCAGGATCACACCAGAGACAAACTCAGATTCACTTCTAGATGCAGAACCACTGTGGTCTCCACTGAAGACCCCCAATCCTGAATGGTCTCCAGAACCACTGAACACATGTGGACCTGCGCCAAGTTCATATCCCTTCTGAGCAGTAGATTCATCAATGAGATTTTCATCAATCTGTAAGATCTGGAGATCTCCACTTCCAGAAAGCTCTCCTGACAATCCACTTCCAGAAGAAGATCCTAAAAGGTCTCCAGAACCACTGAACACAAGAGGACCCGCACCAAGTTCATTCTCTTTAAGGGTAGTAGAAGCATGAACGAGTTTCTCATCAACCAATACGATTTGGAGATCTCCACTTCCAGAAAGCTCTCCTGACTCTCCACTTCCTGATGATGATCCTGAAAGAAAACCAGATAAATCCTGGCCTGAAGTGAAACCAGATGTGCTGCCTGAGAAATGTCCACTTCCCCCCAAGCTATCCTCACTCTTTGTAGCGCCAGAACCAGATCCAGACGGTGACAGGTCACCACTAGAACATCCAGACCATGATCCTGATGAAGAGACGATACAATTTTCTGTGAATCCCTCTCCAGCTTCTTGCGGTCCTCCTGATGAGGTGCCCTCTTCTGACACAATGTTGTCAGCTCCAGAGAAAAAAAACGTGATGCCAGATCCTACTCCACTGAGACCTGATCCAGAACCACCTGTGCTTGTACTTCCAGCCAGGTGTCCAGATCCAGATGAGTCTCCCGAGGAAGACTGGTGTCCAGATCCAGATGAGTCTCCCGAGGAAGACTGGTGCCCAGAACCAGATGAGTCTCCAGAGGAAGACTGGTGCCCAGAACCAGATGAGTCTCCAGAGGAAGACTGGTGCCCAGAACCAGATGAGTCTCCAGAGGAAGACTGGTGCCCAGAACCAGATGAGTCTCCCGAGCAAGACTGGTGCCCAGATCCAGATGAGTCTCCAGAGGAAGACTGGTGCCCAGAACCAGAGAGGTCTCCTGAGCCAGACAAAGCTCCAGAGCCAGACATGTCCCTAGAACCAGATATGTCTCCCGATCCAGATGAGTCCCCAGAGGTAAGTCTGTCTCCTGAGCCAGGGAGGTTTCCAGACCCAGACAGGTTGCCAGAGTGACCCCCTGAGATGCTACCATTGACAGAACCTGAGCCAATATCTGCCAAGCCAGAACCAGATCCCGACATCTCCACAGGGATTGGAAGAACGATGGAGGAAACATCTGAAATGAAGTGTGAAAGCAAAGGTGTGAGAACAGCTAAAGTTTCAGAGGTCAAAAATTGTGATTAACAATAGGTTAAAACTCACTGAGCATCAACAGATCAATCACTGATGTCTGGTTTAGTAGAGCCTCCTGGATAACTGTGATGTTCAGTTGAGTTTTGTTTGTTTGATGCAGAACATTCGCTGCAAGAATAAAGGCAGTAGGGGAAAACATTAACTGTACTTCAAAAAATATTAAATACAAATTCAAAGTAGGTCTGAACAACATTCACCTCTGAAACAGTATGCATCAAATTTGGCATCAAGTTCGGGGTATCTTGTCTGATTAGGGTGTGCATACACGGTGTGAACTCCTGATTTTCCTCCCCCACACTCAGAACGTGGGTTGTTGATGGGATAACGGACGCTGCGATCCAGGAGCCAGCCTGCACGACACTTGTCAAAACCCATTTTCCAGGCAGCATAGAGCTCTCCAGTGGACGCCAACACTGCGCTGTGGTTTTGACAGCTAGAAACAGCCTCATCATAGGTGAAGCCTTCAGCAGATCCAACATGGAAAACCTCTCCTGCATGACAGAAAAATAGGTGTTTGCTTCTTTTACTGTGATTACACATCTGCAAGAAGATCATTAGTGACATTAGTTACAAATAAGTCACCTGTTAGCTTCCCGGTGTAGCAATACACATCATATCTCTCATCTGCTGGTCTTAGACCATACGACCGAACTCCTGGTTCATCTCCTAGATCTCCAGCGCACTTTTCTCTGGGAAAAACAACAGGATACCTGCACGGGAGGAGATTGTGAGTTGAGTTTCAGAATAAGGATGACACTTTTGGTCTAAAGGTTTTACCTCACAGTCTGGTCCAGAAGCCAGCCTGCATCACACTGATGGTACCCAGACTCATATGCAGCCTGCAGGTGTTGAGGTGTAGCAATGGAGCCCCCAACACTCTGGCAGGCCAACTGGGCCTCAACAAACATGTAGGCATAGCGTCCAGCACTTGAGCGGTAATGGAAGACAACATCTGCATTTAGAAGAAAGGGAATTATTTATGCAAAAATCTAAGCTACCCTGTTGTTTAAATTTTTTTTTACTTCAAAAGATTCCAAAGAGTTTAAAATTGAAGGAAAAACCAGCCAAATAATAGATATTCAGAAAGCATATGACTCCAGACCATCTCAAGCTTGTTAGAAAGTCAAAATCATTGTGAAAAAATCTAAAAAAAAAATCTGAGACTACAAATTTTTGGGAAGCACTCGCATTACTGACCCTCTGAAGATACAACAAAGGTTTCGCTGGGCTCCTTGTAAACACCCGGTTGGGCGGTGGCGGCCTCGATCGGGTCATCAACACTAGGTGGTTGAAGCAGTGATGGCTCAGTTTGGCTCTCTGTCTCATTCAGATCCAACGGGAGCTGAGTCTCCACCTCCCCAATCACCTCACTCTCTGTGGTCACCCTGCTAAAGAACAGCTCTGGACTCTGAGTCACGCTGGTAACAGACAGCACGCCACTCCCCTCAGCTGCGCCTGAACTCTCTTCATCAGGAGCCTCTAAGGGTCACATAAAAAAAACATTTCCTTTGAATTCTATTTAAAATGGACTAATTCTCAGTTTTGTCATTTATAAGAGACCATAGAGTTGATTGGTTAAACTGTATTTGCCTTGTTTAAACTGCAACATCACAATGTGCACAAACCATACTTTGAGATTAATATATCTTTAAAAACATTTAGTCTTGTTTTTGGAAAGCTGATAAAAGTAAAGCTTATGTTCTGTGGCGTTTTTTTACATGAGTGGTGTGAGAGCTCCTTCTGCTCGTGATAGATCAGTGGTTGGTTCACCAGGATTCAGTCAGTGAAATGATATCTGCAGATCTAATTACATGAAAAAGAAATCCTAAAAGCATATTTATACCATCATAGTTTTGTAATACGCTTAAAAACATCTGTGATATACAGATAAAATAGTATAAAGCTGTTTTTGTGATTGTATTGTTATATTTTTTACTCAATTATTTCCTTATCAATGTTTATATGTGATATTTGGTTTCCCCTTCAAGTGTCAGGGTGAAAAGGGTATTAGTACTAAAGTAAAAAAACTAAAATCTGTCAACATCAAATTAAAAATCTAAAGGAATGTTTAGTAGTTTGGGCACATTGTAACTTTTATTATTTTCCTTCAGTGTTTCCATGGAGACTTAACCAACCAGTGTAGCAGAAGGCATCATAGCGTGACTCAGAAAGTGGGTATCCCGTCTGGTTTGTGTGGAGGTAAACAGTCCGCACCCCCAGCAGACCCCCTCCGCACTGTGGCCGTCGGATGTTAATAGGATAACGGACGCTCCCGTCTCTCAGCCAGCCAGCGTTGCAGATGTCCATCCCGCTTTTCCAGGCAAGGTACAGCTGACCCGTAGTGGCCAGCTGGGCTCCCTGACGGGAACATGCCGACTCAGCTTCTGAGAAGGTGAACTTTTCTGCAGAAGTCGTATAGAAAACTCCTCCTATTCCACATAAAAATGGGTTGGCCAATGAAAGCGCTGAACGCACAAATCTTAAAACTTTGCAGGGATCAAAACAAAGTACCTGTCATCTTCTCAGCAAAACAGTAAACATCATATGTCTCACTGAGATCTCTGACTCCGTACGTTCTGACACCAGGAAGTTCTTCTTTGTCACCGTAGCAGTTCACACGGGGATCATGGATCGGGTACCTTTGGTACGAAGAAAAAGCCCTTCAGTATCAAAAATAACATTTGATCCGGTCGCCAAACATTCAAAATCCTCTTTTCACCAAAATTCTGTTTGACTTTGATTGCCAGATAAACCTGATACTGCTTTTCTTTAGAATAGAATAGAATAGAATAGAATAGAATAGAATATAAACACCCAATCAGAAGCTTAGTGGCTCCGTTTGTGCAGTCCAATATGGTGAGGACTGTCCAGATCTTTACATCGGGGAAACAAAACAACAATTACACAAGAGCATGGCACAACACAAGAGGGTCACCGTTTCAGGTCAAGGCTCTGCAGTCCACCTACACCTTAAGGACAAGGGACACACTTTTGAAGATGACAAAGTACACATTCTGGACAGAGAAGATAGATGGTTTGAGAGAGGAGTAAGGGAAGCCATTTATGTCAAACAAGAAGAACCTACATTAGAGAAGGAGGCTTCAGGTTTCACCGTTCTAGCAATTATAATGCAACTCTGAATTATTCCCAAACAGTTTCAGACTAGGTCACACCCTCTCACATCTAATCAATACAACACAACCCCCTCACAACAGAGGCCAATGACTGATCGGGTGTTGGGGGGAGGGGTATTCATATGTAGTTTCTGCTCGTTAAGCAACAATAAACAGCTGGAGTTCATAAGCTTGACTCTTCCATATTCCAGTCAGAAATGACAAAGCTCCTCGGATGAGAAGTGAAACAAGACCAAAGAAGTTCAGTTGCCATCATTTGAACCCTTTTGGACTACCATGACCTGGAAGACCTGCACCAGCAATAGAAAAGAACAGAATAAACCTTTATTATCCCACGAATGAGATAAGTGTTTGGAGATTAAATTATTGTGTAATTCTGAAACATCTTTAATGTAGCCACGTGAGAAGTCTTCTGACATTATGTTATGAACCTGGAGGAGAACCATGTGCACACATCATCTTCCATTCAATGACAAACCTGACTGTGTGATCAGACAACCAGCCAGCATCACACTGGTGGAAACCGTCATCATAGGCTGCTTGGAGCTGCTCGGAGGAAGCAACAACTGCACTGTTCTGGGAGCAGGCTGCCTCTGCCATCTCAAAGGTCAGAGTGTAGCGACCCATAATGGCCCGGTAGTGGAACACGATACCTGTAGAGACAACAAAATTAGTCATTATTCAGATTAGAATTCATTTAACAGCAAAGCAAATGAGATTATCACTTAAATATTGTTTGCTCTCTTGCTAGAAAGTCTTGCACACTCTGGTTGTCTTTGTTTTAATGGAGTATCTCTTTCCAGGGGTTAGACGAACAAACAATGCATGAGTGAAACTAACAATTCCTCACAGTGCAGGAGTCTAACATCTTGCATCTAGCCATGGAGGTTAGGAGTGAGACCCTGGAGACCTTCTCCTTCTCCTCAGGGAGAATTAAGCAGCGTGTTGAATGTCCAGCTGTCAGCAGATATGTCAAAGTCAAAATAAAATGGGAATTTACCTTGAACATGAACATGCACAATGTCATGGTTGTCTTCGATCCCGTGTTGCACCTCACAGCGATACACTCCCGAGTCACTGGAGCGCAGCTCGGTAATCTTGAGGCTGGCATCTGTTGGGGTTTGGGGGTAGCTGAGCAGGTGAACTCTGTCCAGGAAGCTCTTGCTGATGTGCACCTGTCCCTCTAAGGCCACCAGGATTGTTGTGACCTTTTCTTTAGTGACGTGGCTCCATTTGATGCGATGAGAAAGGGGGACGATGGGAGGGGCTCCAGGATCTGGAAACGTGTGGTCCTATAAAGGAAGGGTGTAGGATCAGAGAGGGCCACCGTATTTATCCCCATGGGAGCTTTTAAATAATATAAAACAACAAATATGCATACAATGGCATGTAACGGTGAAAGTGCACAGATTTTTAAAATTTGCTTGCAGAGATCATGCACACAAGATGTTTTAATTTGTGTCCTTTTCACTTTTATTTGTAGATTATGGTCTGCCTGTGACACAGAAGAACATGTTGAGACAACATTTCAGAACTGATAGAACTAAGAATTACTTTTAATATGAGATAACAGTGGATTGTATTAATATTACAAAAACTCTGTGAGGGATTAGAAAGGATTTGTTGATGTTTGCTTGAACTTCATGAACAAGGAATTAAAAATAAACAAAAAATCTGAAGACTGGTGCACTCATGAGCCAAGCCATGAGGTGGAAGTAACTAGTCTGTATTTATAGCACCTTCTTAGGGTTCTACAACCCCCCAAGGTGCCTCATAACACAATCAGCCATTCACCCATTCATACACACATTCACACGCTGGTGATGACGAGCTACGATGTAGCCACAGCTGCACCGGGGCGCACTGACATAGGCGAGGCCTGCGATCACCACTAGCAGGCAAGGTGGGTTAAGTGTCGTGCGCAAGGACACAACGGCAGCATTCTGTGGTAGGAGCCGGGATCGAACCTGCAACCTTCTGATTACTGGACAACTTGTTCTACCTCCTGAGCTCCTGCTGTGAGTGAGCAAAAGAAAACCAGCATCTCGACACTGGATGTGCCTTTCTCTTACTCGCACCTAATGAACCTTGGCTCACATGTGTGCTCCAGCCTTACGATTTTTTATTCCCAGTGTCCATCGGCTGAGCAACGCCAGTTTGCGAGGGGATGATGCGCAGAGGGCTCCATTCTTTATCCTGAATTATATGAAAACTTTGTATGGCTGCAGAGTTACATTTACAAAGGTAATTTTACTGTTAAAATACAAAACTTTAAATCAACCTGCTGACATGACATGGCTGAGGAAGAAGAGGGGGGGGGGGGGGGGTTCTGGGTTGGATCTCTGCAGATTAGGAACCAAATGTGACACGGACGACCCAGATAGACACACTGAAACATGTTTGCAGGATGGATGGTGGAGAATTAACACCATAAACTCTTCCATTCAGAATGAAGGGAATAACCAAACACGTTCAAAGTGCCCGAAGGGCTGAACATTTACAAGGTAGATTAAGTCAAAAAGAGAAAATGTGTCATTTCGTGATTACATATCGTCTGACAATACAAGTCAAAATTAATATAACTATCTAAATGTGCACTGGTTGTATTGCATGAAATGTAAAATAAAAAATCTGATATAACAAAACAAAGTTTAGAGTCACAAACCTCAAAGAGACACGGTAGTATCAGAAATCCTCCCAGCAGAGGGCGCTGTTCCCCCTCCAGAGGAATTCTCACACTCAGGACATCCTCTGGGTCTGAGGCGCAGGATGACACGTGAACTTTTTAATAAACATGCACTCAGTGTTGCTGATTATCCTGTTGTACTTGGGTTTTGGCTTCTTACCCATGAAGGAGTGCTCTTCATACAGATAATCAAATGTTGCTGAGATGTAGCTCAGACACAAAGACAGAAGCACCGTCCACCTGATCATAGCTTATCTACAGACGTTAAAAAAAAAAGCACAAGGTGATTATTTTAATTATTAATCATATGCAGTCACCACCACTTAGACAAACATTGATTCTACTTTGTTTGGCACTCTTGTTTCAAGTTTAGTAAACTCCTCGCACAAGTGTGTGAGACACTTTAACCAAAAGATTAATGATTAAATAGAACAAATGGGATTTATGTGTCTTTAAAGAAGTCTTTGTTACTCATTTTTTAGATTTAGTCATTTTAATTTTCCATTATTTTTTTTACACGAACGTACAACAGTGCCTCTTCATTCTTAACCCTTTCATGCATAGTTGTTAAAGTGTGTGTGAGTGGATGGTACTTGCACTTCAGACACCACACTGGGCTTCTGTGTGTCCTTCCACATGGTGATCCACCAGCTGTGTACGGGGTGGATGAGTGGACACTTGGTAGACTATTTTCAAAGGTACATGTGAAATTTTCTGTTTAAAGATAAATAATAAAACACCTGAAATAAAAGGACTGAGGTTGAACTGAGGAAATTTATGTTTTAAAATTAAATTTAAAAGGTTTTAACATTTTCAGCCTTCTTCACAGTGAAAACTTTCCATAGTAAATCTACTTTAACATCAGTTTTAGGTTTACAACGTTATGTTTGTCTCGATGCTTTATCTACTCAACAGTACATAAAAATACAACAACATTTAAAGGGAAGCAAGGCAGTTTTGGCTTGCTTTTGGCACCCCCTAGTGCCCATTAGCAGAACCAGAAGCGGCACGTATCCCCTCGCTGTGTGTTTGTCTTTTTAACACCTTAATGTGAAAGCTGAAAATGTCTCCCCAGCCTTCATTAGTGTCTACAGGAGTGACTCATAACTAAATAGAACAAATCAGTTGTCTTCATGATCTAATGTGCAGGAAGCGTGCTGCAGCGTCGGGTATGTCGGCTCCATTATTTTCGAAGTCCGACAGACCGGACCGGCACTCTGAAGTTGCAAATGCGGTTTTCACCCACAGAGGGTGGTGGGGTCTGAGCGACATTTCATTAACCCTGTAAAGGGTCGTTTTAGCCCGTACTGGCTCAGGAAATGATTTAAAAATATGAAAAAGTTGCAAATTATGCTTTATATTCGTCATTGTTTTCTCAGTTTTTGGATCTATTTTTCTGGATCTACAAGCTAAATTACTCATGAAGATAAAATGAAATCTAACAGACAGCGTGACAGACTCAGAACGGAAACATCCATTAATGGGTCCATGGGTAAACCACCCAGGTCACCGAGTGCCATTACCCAGCCTGTTTTATTTGTAACACTCAGCAGGTCATGCAGCTCTGCAGAAGCCTGTTTATCACCTGCTGACTAAAATCAGGTGTGTTGGAACAAGGAAACAAATACAAACTCAAGGACCAGGAATGCCTACCCCTGCATCCATCCTTCCTTCCCAAGAGATAACCAAAGAGGTCCTCCCGTTTACTGTTCTCATGACACACATGTTACTTTCTTAAGTTTTGTTTTTGTTCGTTCTTACTTAAACCTTGTCACAGAAATGGCCATGACCTTCTCTGAACACCCTGAAACCGTTTCAGCTCTGTGTTCTGTGGCCTCTGGACTCCGTAACAGTTCATTAGCAGCTGACTCCAAACACACTGCATTCATTCAGCTGCTGCGGTGGAGGTTCAATTCCAGGGAGCTGTAAGGCCTATAAGACCCGATCTGTTCCCCCTGAAGAACACATTATGGCACTTCTGACAACACCAGGACCTATGTAAACAGCAGGGTGTATGTTCCACAGTCCGCCCCTTTCCATCAAATTTCAACACTGCTCACATTCAAACTGCAGAGGAGGAAAAATGTGAAACACGCTGGAAGGAGGCCCGGTGAGACTTTGATCCTCATGAGTACATCTATTTTTGTTTCTACAAATTCTCTCCATATGTGAAACATTCTTCCTCTGACAGAACCGCACTTTAAATACATCAGATGTTCAGGGATGACAGATCTTCAGCACTTTCAGGAGAAAGATGTTATGATTATTTAGCTTAAACCGCCACAGCTACTTGTTTCCTTTATATTTGTTGTCTCTTTCCCCATTTTAGTTTTCTTTATTTCTAATTTTTTAATGACTATTTGAAACAATCCAGTCAGAATCCTGAGATACTGATGGTCCAACCAGTTGTAAATATATCACTGATTTAGGCTTTTCATTTCATTTGTTTATAAAGCCCCTTCTGCGACCAATGCAGACGCCCAAGGTGCTGAAAACACCACACAATAAAAACATAAAACCATCAGAATAAAATATAACAATCGTAAAACCAGCATAAAATCAATTAAAAGAGGAGAGTAAAAGCAAAAAATAAAATCCAGAAAAAGATTAAGAGGCCGGGGCATCGAAAATGGGCAAAATTTGCTAAACCTGAAAAGCCTTGACAAAAAACTGAGGCTTAAACATGGTAGTTTAATTACTTACATACTTCAATACTTATATATATCTATCGATCTATATATCTATAGCTATATCTATATATCTATATATCTATATATATATATATATATCTATATATATATATATATATATATATATATATATATATATATATATATATATATCTTGTGTGTGTGTGTGTGTGTGTGTGTGAATATTTTCTTTTTCAATAACAAAATCCAGAGATACAAACAGAGTACATGAGTCTGACAGGAAGGTGCCGGTTTAAACCCATCGCAGTTATTGTATGTTACTGTAGTAAAGCCACCTCATATATGAAAGCTACATTAAAATAAAAGTTCCTCCATCATCCCTTCTTACTACTATGTTTCTGTCAAATACCAGAGCATTTTAGAGGTATTTCTTTTACTTAAGCTGTCTTAAAATGTATTGAACGTCTTTAAAAAAAACAGGAACACGCCATCAATGTCCTCACACAGGAAGGGAGAAGTGCAACATCCTTCAGCTGATCGTCGAGTGTCTGTTTAAGCTCTTGGGAATCACAAAAACCCTAAAATCTAATTTTTTCTGTTAAATTGTGTTATCTTTTTCTGTTTCATACGAAAGGGACAACCCATGACTACAGATAACAACGAGCCTAGATCTAAAACCGTTTTTATCAAAAGGGCTATATTATTATTATTATCCCTGAATGATATTGTTCAGGTTCTGGACCAAAAAGGAGAGGAAAAAGCAGTCCAAGTCCAAACAAAAGCTCTTAAAGAAATGTGGATTTTTTTTTCATAGTCCTAAAAATAAATAGTTTTAAAATTTACACAATAAACCCTCAAAGACATTCAAATAAATCCTTTACTCACGTATTTGTGGAGGATCTGTCACACTATTCTTCACTGATGGTTTTTGTCGGGCGCTGGGATGTGAGTTTAAAATCCCAGAGAGCAGCAGCAGAAAGCTCAGGATACCTGGCTGAGAGCAGAGGAAAGAGCTTGGGTCCAGGTCTGGCAGTCAGACCTCAGAAAGGAAACTCCACCACAAACCTGGTCTCAGAGAAGTTCCAGGAGCCCCAATAATGGCTTTCAAAATAAAAGCTAGTGACCTCCCAAACTCTTCCCCAGAGGACACTCAGTTCAGCCACATAAAAACTTGTTTTCCAGAGGTGTGGACTCGAGTCACATGACTTGGTCTCAAGTAAGACTCAAGTCATTATTTTAATGACTTTTGACTTGACTTTATTAAATCTTTAAAGACTTACGACTTGACTCGGACTTGAACGTCAGTGACTTGAATCGATTTGCATCTGTTGACTTGATGATGACTTGAGCATATTTAATATTTTAGCACAAAAGTGGCACGACATGGACAAAAATCAAGTCATTCTTCGTTCTGGGTTTGATCTTGTTCTGCTAAATGCAGCATCACTTTGTTTATAATCAGTTTCAGTTGCACTTCCTGCTTGTTTGAGCAAATAAATGAAGCTTTAAGAAGTTTTAATTCTGGAATTTATTTATAGTATTATCACTGTCATCAAATTGAAGATGGACAGATGACTTGATTATGACTTGAAAATTCAAAGATAAGGACTTGGACTTGACTTGGACTTGGTTGTCTTTGACTTGAATTTGACTCGAGACTTGACTGGAAAGACTTGTGACTTACTTGTGACTTGCAAAGCAGTGACTTGGTCACACCTCTGGTGTTTTCATCTTAAAATAGATCAAATATAAGTTTCCTGCATATTAATGAACAAAGACAGTTTTGCACTGTGGCTGAGGATCTTCTGCACACAAATGGTGATCTAAATAAGAAATGCAAGTTTCTGAACATTTTCACTGATCTTCTGTGTCTTCACAGAAAACTGGGTTAAATTAAGGATAAACTATTTTTTTTATATGATTCAATAGAAAATGTTAAAAAAAATTGTACTTTTAATTTTGAAAAACAGAGTAAAACCAGTGTTTTTGACTTTGTTGATTGGAGAGTTTAAAAGTTGTGGGTGGAGGTAAGAGGTTGTGTCCCGTTCCCTCTGGTAAATGTCTTCTGTCCAGGCCAGGGACAGATGTGGACAGATTGGTCATGTTTAGTTGGAGCTAAGTTTCAGATGTGTGCTGGTTTATCTATTCTTCTTTTCAAAGGTTTCAAACATTTACTGAGTGACTGACAGATGATGATTCTGGACTACAGTGATACTGATCTCTCATGTTCCCCTTTATCTTTGTCAATTTCACTCCTGAATGAGCTTTTTTTTAGTTTAAACACTTTGGTTTGCCACTTTAAATCTGCAATGGCACATTTGGAAAACAAATGATCTTAAAACATTTTTCAGGCCTCTTCACAACGTTCTAATATTGTATAACTATAAATATATTGAGAAGATTAAAAAAATTAATAGAATAAACTGGTTCTCTTGCATTTGTCTAAAAATCTCTGCCAATAACACGGCTCGGACCGAAAGCAACTTTTGGACCACGGGGTTGTCAGTCTTGCCAAACCGTCGCACTTCCCTGGGTCCATCACTCATTTCTCACGTATTCAGCAGCAGAACACCAATGACTACGTTTACATGCAGCCAATATCCGGGTTATGATCGGGTTTAGGTCGGTATTCGGGTTTCTGAGTTGATCAGAATAACCCGTTTACAAGCATAAATAGAAATAGTTACCTCTAACTTGCATAACCCGATTTAAATGTGGACGCTGGGGTAGCGTCAGGACGTATGGACTACGTCCAGACGCAATATGCGTCATTTCCAGTTCTTCTTGTTCCGGTATCCGTGAAAACAACAACATGTTTCCCAGTTCGGAAGAGATAGCGACCGCGTTTGCGCTTTAGTTTCCTCGTCACTCCATAAGTGTGGTGCTGTGCCGCGACTCGCCATGTTGCTCCCATCTTGTTGTTTACTTCCGGTGTTCTGGCGCATACAAGACGTCTCGCTACTCAAAAGATCAAGATTCCTTGCGAACAGAGCATGCGCAGAACACACGCTTTGATGGGGATATCCCGATATGCGTTTACACGACCAAACATTCGGGTTAGAAAAGGGTTACCCCAGATGTAACCGGGTTTTTAAAAACCCGGTTATGAGCATATCTGGGTTTTTGGCGGTGTTTACATGGACCTGCGTTTACATGCAGCCAGTAACCCTTTTAAAACCCGAATATTCACGATAACCCGGTTCCGCACAGCCATGTAAACACCGCCAAAAACCCGGATATGCTCGTAACCGGGTTTTTAAAAACCCGGTTACTACACCTGGGGTAACCCTTTTCTAACCCGAATGTTTGATCATGTAAACGCATATCGGGATATCCCCATCAAAGTGTGTGTTCTGCGCATGCTCTGTTCGCAAGGAATCTTGGTCTTTTGAGTAGCGAGACGTCTTGTATGCGCCAGAACACCGGAAGTAAACAACAAGTTGGAAGCAACATGACGAGTCGCGGCACAGCACCACACTTATGGAGTGACGAGGAAACTAAAGCGCAAACAAACGCGGTCGCTATCTCTTCCGAACTGGGAAACATGTTGTTGTTTTCACGGATACCAGAACAAGAAGAACCGGAAATGAGGCATATTGCGTCTGGATGTAGTCCACACGTCCCGACGCTACCCCAACGTCCGCATTTAAATCGGGTTATGCAAGTTAGAGGTAACTCTTTCGATTTATGCTTGTAAACGGGTTATTCTGATCAACTCAGAAACCCGAATACCGACCTTAACCCGATCATAACCCGGATATTGGCTGCATGTAAACGTAGTCATGGGCCTGCGGAACTGGGTTATTGTGAATATTCGGGTTTTAAAAGGGTTACTGGCTGCATGTAAACACACTCACTGATGCGAGAGGTTCTCAGCTCAATAACATCAGAGAGGAGAAAGAGCCGGTTACTGCCACTCCAACATTAGGACAAACTAGTATCAAAAAGAAAACATCATTTGAATTCACGGACAGCAAAAGAAATTTGGACCTTGAAAATGGCGACTGGTGTTCAGCATCGTTTCCTCCTATATCGCGTGTTATTGTTTCAGGCAGAAGCGTCTCAGCAAAGAAAGCCGAGGGGAGCATTCCATGATCGTGTTTGCGTTTAAAACCTAGCTTGTTTACAGATTCGTCACAACAGCTTTAACTTCTCTGGCTGGTTTTTGCTTTGCCTAAAAAGAAATGAAAGAAAAGACTGTTGTCTAAAGTTGGGACAAAGCCTTTCTTTGAGCTGGGTTCCACTGAGCACTTACAGGACACTAAAAGGTTGTTGCTTTGCAGCAGGAAATGAATTTACAGCTTTTATTCTGACCAGTGGTTGACACCGATCTGCTGGTGACTCTCCTCTCCATCTTAATGATCACGAGAGGCTGTGGGCAGCAGAGGGGTGACAAATGTTAGACGTGTCTGTGCTCACTGCTCCTCTACGGTGAGCTCATGACATTGATAGTTCCATATTCCCTTCACGTTGTTTGGATGTTTCCACTTTTAGTTTATTTGGGGATGAGGTGTGTCTACTGGACTGGTTATTTTTACAGGAGCTGGGGTTGGGAGAAATGACCAAACTGTTAAGAAAAACCGAAGGAATTTCACTGAAGCCTCAAACCTGCAAGCTGTGTACAAAGCAGCCCTGTTTACCGGCTGACAGGTGAATGATAGGAAAGTTTTCCATGAGTCGGCTTACCTGTGAGTGTCCTCGACTCTGACACACTACATCATGAATCAATGACGCATTTTGAGGAATGTTAAATGTTTCAAACTCGGTGTGGAAAACAGGAACATTTTTACTCTGTTCAAATTCAAACTACAAGAAAATGAGTATAGGAACAGAGACAGTAGGATTCAGGGTCTGAGGCCATAAAATGAACTGATGTCAAACGTTTTAGAGTGACTTTTATCGTAGATCACCGGACTCCAGATAAGTGGAAGAAAATTGATGGATAGATCTCATAGATCACCTGAACGATGCTGTCTGAACTCATCTTTTAACTGGCACTAGCACATCCCCTTAATTATCTCCAAAATTTACAGTGTTAATTTTACTCAAATAGAGTAGAAAGTACTCTGAAAGAGAGTATGTTTGGTCCCATGGACTCAAATGTACTCTCATTTTTCCTGTGTACGTTTGCTATTTAGAGTTTCTTTAGATTTGTTATATTGAGCATACATTAACATAGGTTGTTTCATGCTGATTGTCTTGAAGACTTTTATCGGATGTGATTGGTGTCCAACAAAAGCTTAATAGAGAAAATGTGTTAAGCTGCTTCATTTGTGGTTTTGCGTGTTAGACCAGTGATGATCCTAGATCACAGAGGATGAATTTCACTTTAAATACTTGCCTTCCCCTGAACACAACACATCTCCTGTAGGAGTCGAATATTTAAAGTAGACAAACATAACAAACCTGATGTTTATTTTTCAGTTCGAAGCCTTCGAAGAACAGAGGTGTCATGGAGTTCATAGAACCAGGGCCAGGAAGAGAAAAAAATTATTTACAATTGATGTTGGTTTACAAATTAGCTGGTGAATTTCAGTTCTGTGAGTTGGTACTTTGTTGCCATTAAGATGGAAAATATTCCAAATCTGTAAGGTTCAGAGAGGAAAATAATACAATATTCTTTGATCTTTATTTGAAACTCTAAAATGAAACAAATTTAAATGTTTTATAATCAGAATTTGCGATGAGGCTTCACTGTAAAACACAAAATGGTAGAAAAAAAGTCATCTTTTTCAAAGTAAACAGAGTTGCTGTCTTTGTCGCAAAATGGAAAACTTTGGATTTAGTTTAAGTTGCATGAATTTTGTTTTATTGTTGACATGCTTATTTTGTGTTTTGAAAGGTTTTTCCTTTCGTCGTACCTCCCAGAGACACTAATTAGAACAAATGGGAACAGGTGTGGAATGCCCACAGGTGCAATGGACTCAAAAAACAAGGAATAAAAGGAACTGAGGAAAGGGTCCAGGAGAGGAGCAGACACCAGAGAGACTTGCGTGATGAAGCCTGATTGATGGAGCCTGGATGGTGACCTCCCTGGTATGGACACGAGCGCCCGAATCTCCGGAATGCAGATCGGCACCTGGAGCACCATCCCGGGATGTGGACAAGCGGCCAAGTGTGTAGGATTGTGGGTTGCCCTCTCTTCCCCC